GCATATCGTCGATGAAGGAAGATATTAATGAAAATTATAAAAAAATTAGCTCCATAGAAATTGATACTGAGTATTTAACAACTTCTTTAAAAGCTGCCAGAGTTGAAAATGAACAGTTAAAGTGTAGAATTGGTCATTTAGAACATTCGGTCAATATGCAGGAACAATCTGCACTGCTTTCTTCGCTCGAAAAACATGGACTTCCTGTGAAAAGAGAGGAAAATTTGCGTGAAAGTTTTATTACTATAGCGAAAAGTCTAGGTGTTCCTATCACTGATGATAATATTGACAACATTTTCAGAATTCGTAAACCTAATACAGAAAATTCAATTCCATCAATAGTGATTGTTAAGCTTTCAAATCAAAATTTGAGGGACAAATTGATTAATGAACGTAAGATCAAAAAAAAATTTTCTACAGTCGATATTGGTTGGCGTGATAATGAGAAATCGTTTATCTACATACGTTAATCGTTAACACCCATATGAACCGTCGAATCTACTCTGCTGTTGTAGCCTTAAGGAGAGATAACAAAATTAAATACCTATGGATTTCCGGTGGTAAAATCTTTGGACGTAAGGCAGATGGCGAAAGAAGGTTCCAGTTTACATCGCTTGAGGCTGTCAACGCTATAAATTAATAATGTGAAAGATTGGTTTTGTTTTTCTTTTTTGATTATTTTCTAAATTTTCATTATCTTTTTTAAAAATTTATCATTATTATTATTTTACTGTATTTTGAAAGACATTTTACAGAGTTCTATAGTAATTAAATTTTTGGAGTTTTTTACGAATTTGTCTTATTTACTTCAAAGAAATAATGAATCTCCTATTTCTTACATTTTAAATCATCTAGTAATTTTTTCTTTATTTTTGAAAATTGTTAATTATTTAATAATTACTTTTGTAAATTTAACTCAAATTAATTATGTACTTTATGATTTCTACCATTTTTGTTTTGTAATCTCGAAGCCTGTGTACTTTTATAATTTACTTATTATTTTCAATTATGTAGTAATATTTTCTTTTTCTTTAAAAATTAATAATTATTTAATTATTTATTTTTTCAATTTAAATAAAATTACTGATCTATTCTCTATTTTACACTTTTTTTGTTTTGTAATTTTAAAGCCTGTTTATTTATATATTTTCCTTATAATTTACATTTTTATTTCAATTGGGGACAGTGTGTGGCCTACTTTTGATATTGCTTTTTATGAATTTAATTATGGCGACGTTAAATATTTGTCATGTTAATGCACAATCCTTGCGTGCACATTTCATAGAATTTAGGGATTTCTTTAAAACAGGATTTTATGATGTCATTGCTGTTTCTGAAACATGGTTTAATTCCAGTATACCTTCTAGTCTTGTTAATTTACAAGGATATAATCTATTTCGTAATGATAGGGAGAGATGTAGGGGTGGTGGAGTGTGTTTATATGTACACAGAAATATTAGATGTTCCTTAATTTCTATGAGTTTTGAAAGTTCTCATCCATCTGCAGAGTTTTTATTTCTGAAAATCCATGCTGAACATGATAGTGCTTTGCTTGGGGTAGTTTATAAACCGCCAAATTCTTCATTTGGAAATGACTTAGAGAATCAAATATTTTCTTTAGTTCAATTTTTTAATAATATTTTGATAATGGGCGATTTTAATTGTAATTTAAATACTTCTTCACCTCATACTAATTATTTTGTTTCTATGATATATTCGGCTGGACTATCAGTTGTGCCTCACGATTCGACGCATCACTTAAGCAATTCTAGTACTAGGATTGATCTGATGCTGGTTGATGATTTGAATAAAGTGCTCTCGATTGGTCGGTTTTCTACAGTTTCCCTCTTCTCTGGCGAGAAAACCCATTGACGGGTGGTCCAGGCGTAATGCGAGTACTCCTAATAAAAGTCGGCTGTAGACGCAAATTAGGTTTAATATATATAGAAAAATTTCTAAGTAGAATGGTTATGCTTAATCCAAAAAAGTATTTCTCGGGGATTCTTGTCGAAGTGCGTAAGGCCAATAGGGCAGGAGTATAAACAATAAAAAAAAGTGCTCTCGATTGGTCAGCATCCAGTTTAATTTTTGTCAAGTCATGATTTAATCAACATTAAATTTGAGCTTGGAGGAGATTGGTCCCAAACTACTAATAATTCTTTTTTTATACGTAATTTACATAATGTTCATGAGACTGATTTTCTTGCTCATCTTTCAACTTACGATTGGACAAGTATATATTCTACCACAAAAGAAGAAAAATAATGATTGAGCTTTTCAGGCAATGACTTAAATCAAAAACTTGAAAAATCCCTAAATGCTTGCATTCGTTATATTTATGATATTCCTAAATTTGAACATATTACGCAATATAGAATTAGGTCTGGCTTATTAAATGTTGCTACTAGACGTAAATTTTTTATGGGTAATTTACTTTTTTCATTATTTAAAACTAAATTTCCTGATTATTTATTTAATTTTTTTGAGTTCAACAAAATTGTCGAAGAAAATTACTACAGGCTTAGAGAAAGAAAATCAATATTGATAATACCACCACATCGAACTTGCTTGATGCAACGATCTTTTATTGTTAGGGGTGCAAGACTGTGGAATAAATTGCATCCAGTTTTAATAAATGCACCTCATATATTAACGTTTAAAAAATTATTTTTTGAATTATTATTTAGAGAAAACAATGGAACATTTGATATTACTTATTGGTAGGATTTATCATTATTGTCATAAATTATCTACAGTTTTTAGTTCAGTTTTCATATATTAGTAAAGCTGTTACATTCCTTATATATATATTCAATATTGTTATCTTATTTTCGTAATTTCTTCTCAGTATTGTTATTATAATTCGTCGGGTTAGCGCAATATCAGACTTATTCGACAAACAAAGCAAGAACATACTTATTCAGAAAAAAGGCAAGAACATGCTTATTCAAAATATAAAGAAAAAACAAACGAATTCGCAAATTAACCTTTTTAGTCAGATTTTAAATTTTACTTTTGTACAATTGAAGGGCTGCATAAAATAAGGGGACGAACGCGTGGTTGAAAGGGATAATATCAGTCAGGTAGCAGCGAGCGGCTCAAGGCCTGTCACTGCTACCCGACTGGTACTATCCCTTCCAAGCCTCGCGTTCGTCCCCTTATTTTATGTAGCCCTTCAATTGTTTTACGAATAATAACTTTTATTTAGTTCCATTGAGAATAATTTTTTTAATATTTTGTTTTTCTAATATGAAAAGTATTATTGAAATAAAATTATAATATTCTTGATAATTTAAAGTCAGACTAAAAAGGTTAATTTGCGAATTCGTTTGTTTTTACTTTATATTTTGAATAAGCATGTTCTTGCCTCTTTTCTGAATAAGTATGTTCTTGCCTTGTTTATCGAATAAGTATGATATTGCGCTAACCCGACGAATTATTGTAATCATTCTTGAATAAGTAACCAAATATAATTCTAATGTATCTGTTCCTTGAAGGGCTTCGTAGCTCTAGGAACTTTGTTATTCTTAAATAAATAAATAAATAAATAATGATGGTGCTCTGTTTAATTATGAAATAAAAAATTAATTATTTAAACAAATTATATGAAAAAATGCACTTGCGTGTTTTTCCGAATGCAAATATGAAGTAAAAAGTTAGGTAAAGTCCTTTGCGTAGTTGCTCAACAAAAATGTACGCGAGCTCGGTCCTCCGATTTGATGGAAAAACTTACCTAACTGACAATGACGTCATGTGGTAAGGGGACGGCTGCTTGCGTCCCGAGGATAAACCGAGTTTAGCCGAATGCAGTTAAGTAGTCGTTCGGCTCTGTCTCGACTGACTTTTTCACGGAATAACTTAGGTAATTGCAAGCGTTGCAGATGCAAAGTTTTTATTTCAAATTCAACGCTCAGACTCGACTACTTATTTGATAAAAAAAACACACAAATGCCTTTAACTAAGTTTTTCCTTCAAATCTTGCATTCGAGCTCGTAGCCTCGTTTGTTTGTTGGACTACGCAAAGTCCTTTCCTTAACTTTTTATCAAATATTCCTTCATTTTCTGCAATTTCTTAGATATTTAATATTAATTTTTTACAAACAATAATTTGCAAAAAAAATTTAAACTATAACTATTAGACGCAGTTTTTTCTTACGAGTTCATTGATACCAAAAACTCATTTTTCACCAAAATGTCAGTTAACTAAGTTTCTATATCACACGGCAGAGTAGAGATGTGGTATAGGATGAAAATTAAAAAATATTTATTTTCCAATGTATGTTTGGACCACCCTCGTGGCCAGCCGGTTTTGAATACATCACAATTCAACATGAGTCGAAAAGACCAGAGTACAAAAGGTCGATCCCCCAGTACCGAACCAGTCTACCTACCAAAACAAAGCTATTATCTGAAGGTAAAAAGTGACCAGTTTTTCAGAAAATTAACATCAGAAAAATTTTTCAAAAGACTAATTATCATTTTAGAAAGCAGTTTAGAAGTCTTATTCAAGTCAGATGTAGACTATTGGAAGTCGAACGACACAACATTCTTAAGAGTTTTCCTCTTATATTTATGTAACTAAATATTTAATATTTGGTATACACTATTAAAAATCGGATAACATATTTTACATAAAACAAAATTACATGAACTTAGTATCCAAACTTATCATTAATGTAACCACTAAAAAGTATAGGAAAATAATTGTCATCTATAATTCATGAGAAGCAGAATTTTATAAACTTTTTCATAAGACTTCTGTAAGCAATTAAATTCAACTCTCTAGATTAGTGTTTGATATAAATAATTATCATGATTTAAAGCAGTTATATTTTATAAATAGATTTCTATTTGATTAAAGTTATTTAACAAACATAAATAGTGTGCATTTATTGTATTGAATATTACTTTATTTGACATCAAAATATAACTCTGAATTAATGAGGAAGAATGTTTAAGGGACGCTCTAATAACTATATTTAAGTAAATCGACATCTTACCTTCTAAAATCAATATGGTGGGTTCTAAGGGAAGAGGATTTCCGAAGCAGTTTGTCTCACTAGTGGACTCTAAATACACATGCGTTGAACTACTTTCCTCACTTGAGCTGTCTGAAGAATGGAGCTGATCAGTAGTAGTTTTTAAATCAATTTGTTTAGTGTATGATTCATCTAAGATTTTATCAGCCATTAATGTACTTGAAGAGTTTTGTAACATCGAATCATCATCATCATTATTATCCATACAGGGACAAGAACATTCACATTCACCACCAGCCCAAATTGGAGGTGATAAAGTATTTATTTTTAAAGGAGTAGTAAATGGTTTTTCATCATGATTAATTATCTCTCGAGTTGCATTTCTTGTTAATAATTGTTCTGGTGGATTATGGCTAATTTTAATGTTTGGTATTAGAGAATTAGTGTCATCTGCAGTTGGCATAGAAAGAGAGAGAGCAAACACAGGTTTTGAAATTGAAGGAAATTCTTGTTTATCTTCAATACTAATAGCTACATTAACAAGCATTTTTTGTGATGAAGAGAAACTCATACCGGGAAGAAATACATTAATCTGATTGTTTATTGATGAATTAAATGAAGTAAAATTAGATGGAAGTTTATTTTCTAACTTTTTTTCGGTTAATAGACTATTTTGATTCTGTTTCACAAGCGAATCTTCTGATAGAAATTTATTATAATTTTTTTTTAAATTGTAAACAAATTTTTCGTTACTGTCATTTCTTTTTATTGTTGGTATAATTTTTCTATCGTTGTCTTTATTTTTTATTGTTGTTTCTTCTTGCAGTTTTATAATTTCTATCTCTTCTTGTTCTATATAATATAGTGGTCGTGGTATAACATGCTGTAGTATCTTGTATTCTTTAGTCAAATTGCTTTTATCCTCGGAACTATTTGAGAAGGAGTTTGCATCTGTTTCTTTCCCTGACTCTAATGAATATTCCGAATTGAGTTGATTATCAGATTTTATAGTAAAGTTTGATGATTCAGTAGCGATAGATGAATTATCATTTAGTAATATATCTTTTACAATAGAATTAGTAATTGCGGAATGAGGAGTTTTCACATAGAAATCAATAAGTGGTGCATTTTCACTTTCGTCACTTTCGACCTTTTCTATTTTCAGATGATAATTTTTATTTTCTTCTAAGTCTGTTTTCTTGGTAAACATATTTTGCAAAAAGAATGTCCTCTTTAAATCATCTTTAATTTTTATGTCAGGAGATACAGTGGAAGCAACAGTGACTAATTCTACAGACAACAAATTTTTGTGATCTTGCAAGGTATTTAAAGAAATGTCAAACGTGGTGGAAGGTGTAGGTGAATTTAAAAAACTAGAATTAGTAAAGGTGTTGCTTAAAATATTTTGATAAACAATTGATCTTCTCGATATTTTATTTGTAGCTTTAAATTTTGTGTTCATCATAGAATTTTCTTTACTCTCACTAAATTTATTAACTTTAGTAAATCGTCCCGCATTATCATGCACAACCTTATCCAAATAATCGCCATGCAAATCAGTAAGTTGTTCCAATTGAACATCTGATTTTCTAAAGGTGACCTTAGTCTCAGATGGAACAACTAGTTGGTGTGAGTCATGCTGGTTAAAAGTGTCTCTACGCTTACGAAGAATTATAGGTTCTACAAGATTATCATTAAAGGAACTCATACCTCCAGAGGTCGAAGACTGCTGCTTCGTTTTACTTAACGATGTCGATGAAGTAGATGTTGTTTTATTCGTTTCTGATGACATCGATTTTGATTCTGAATTATCGCCTACCAAGACAGTACACGCCTTTGTACCTTGATAGGACCAATTTACTATGTTAGAAGCTGAAAATTAAAAAATAAAATTAGATTTAAATTAATATAAATAATTCTTTATGATTAAAAATATTATTCACAGGATTGTGAATGATGAATTTGAATAAAATATTTAATAGCAATGTTTCATAATAAGGCTAATTAATTATTAACTCTAATAAATATTTAACTTAAATATTTTTCAAGTTATTGAATTCAAATGCGATGATAGAATTAAAGAATTTTAATGGCTGACTAAATAAAAAATGTTAGCATTTGCATAAAATTTCGTTCTTAAAATCGCCATATCCAAAGATCATGTGAAACTTAAAAAATTAAATTTGTAAAATCTATAACATGATTCGACTTCTGCAAATAAATTTTGTAACAGAGTAAAAAATACCACCTTTACTCAAAAAAGTATAAAAAATAAAACAGTTATAATGTACTGTTAGTGCAGATTGAAATAAATCTATTTGTAAATTTTAGCAATTGCATTAATAAGCAAAAATTCAAAATTTGGTAAAAATTTAACAATTTTTTAAATTTATACCATATTTTTTTCATGTTTGTACGTTGTGTAAATACGACTTAATATGTAAGGTCAAAATCTGGTAAAAAATTTATTTAAAAAAAATTTTTAATATTTTTTTAATAATTCTTCATATAAAAATACTTAAACATTTTTTGTCCTACAAGTTTTTTCTTAAACAATTGTTTTTAAATTATCAACAAATTAAAAACTAGGCTGTTTATTTAAACAAATGACCATAACTTTCTTAAAAATTAATATAGTATCTATTAATTTTTGAAATATAATAATAAATAAATAAGGGAGCGTTCACAAATGATGTCACGTTTCGGGGGGTCTCTACAAAACGTGACACAATGTATTTTTACATGTCACATGTTACATGAAACATGTCACATGAAATTGCGTGACAGGGGGGAGGGGGGGTCTAAAATCTCGAAAAATTGCGTGACATCATTTATGAACGCGCCCTAATAATAAATAATAATGAATAAAAAAAATCTCAATTTGAAAGGTGATAAAGTAAGCTTTTAATTGCAATGCATGAAATTTATGTGTGATGACTTGTTAAAAAACTACATTTGTTTAAAATTTACCAAAAAAATTAAAAATTTTGTTTATTGCTAATTACACACGGTGGTCAGGAACAGATTTTAAATGAAGTGAAAATGTAGAGAAAATCTGTTTACATAGATTCATTGTATACATAACAACAAAACAGAATCACTTCAACTCACATCTTTAATAGATCATTTACAGGTTTTACAACATTTTGAAAGTTTTAAAATGAGAGACTCTAATTGAAAGAATTAATTAGCATATTTGTATGTTACGCATGCGCAAATGAAGACCAGTGAGATTTCTAGTTCAGTCCAAGAATTCATAATCACAAAACAGAAGAATTTTGTTTACATTCTGACGTATAGGGGAAACTGGGGCTAAACCGAACAAGTCAAATATTTCCGAAACCATGAAGAATTTCAAATAATGTTAATAACCTGTGAACGCGCTATTTCGTAAAGCATATATTTTATGAGGTTTTAGGGACATGTCATTTTTCTTGTAATAATAGTTGCCGTTAATATATAAAAATGTCGTTTTTCGCAATAAAAGTAAAAAAAAATTTCAATTTTTTTGGGTTTTTATCGTTATAATTAAAGTGTTATCATATGGCCATTTTTTATTAGCCGAAGGTGTACTGAGTTTAGTAGAAAAAAAGTTTAATGGAAAACGTTAGGAAGAAAAAATTTATTGCAGATTAATTACACAGGCACACAAAAAAATAAAAAAGTCAAAACCCAGAGGTCACACCCCCCTATCCCCATGTTTTTGGGGTCGCTGAAACCGAATAAGACCATGAAAATTTTTTTTTATCGGCCATTTTCCCGCTACCACCCCCTTACACCTGCTCCCGAGGGTTGGAATTTCAGTTTAAAAAAAGTGGAGTAGGGTGTTTATTCCTATGTTTTTTGGGTCGCTAAAACCAAAAAAGACTACCAAAAACAAATTCTTCCCTCCCTTAATCCCCTACAACCCCCTTAACACCCGAAAGGTGGGGGGTCGAAATTCGAATTTTCACGAAAAGTCGATTACGGTGTCTAAACCTACGTTTTTTGGGTCGCCGAAACCAAAAAAGACTACCAAAAACAAATTCTTCCCTCCCTTAATCCCCTACAACCCCCTTAACACCCGAAAGGTGGGGGGTCGAAATTCGAATTTTCACGAAAAGTCGATTACGGTGTCTAAACCTACGTTTTTTGGGTCGCTGAAACCAAAAAAGATTCCCTAAATCAAATCCTTTCCACCCCGATCCCCTACAACCCCCTGTAATAATTTTTTTCAAATAAAACGAACCGATTTTTGGGAGATTGAAAATTAAATATTAATTATCAAAAATTATTACAGGGGGTTGTAGGGGATCGGGGTGGAAAGGATTTGATTTAGGGAATCTTTTTTGGTTTCAGCGACCCAAAAAACATAGGTTTAGACATCGTAATCGACTTTTCGTGAAAATTCGAATTTCGACCACCCACCTTTCGGGTGTTAAGGGGGTTGTAGGGGGTTAATGGAGGGAAGAATTTGTTTTTGGTAGTCTTTTTTGGTTTTAGCGACCCAAAAAACATAGGAATAGACACCCTACTCCACTTTTTTCAAAACTGAAATTCCAACCCCCGGGAGCAGGTGTAAGGGGGTGGTAGCGGGAAAATGGCCGATGAAAAAAAATTTTCATCGTCATATTCGGTTTCAGCGACCCCAAAAACATGGGAAAAGGGGGGTGTAACCTCTGGGTTTTGACTTTTTTATTTTTTTGTGTGCCTGTGTTATTAGATGACGGTGTGGGGCTAAGTCGGAAGTCGTGATAAAAAACAATCAAATTTGTGAATACTATAATTTATTTCATATTAATCACCTATTTTATATTATATTCTTTGCATAGAACCACTTTATCAATAAATAAATAAAGAATTTATTTTAAAACACGAATTAGCAAGCGAGCTGCTGAAAAAAACAAGTCTGAAAACTATAATTCATTTTATATTATATTAATTACATATTTTACATTTTATATTATATTCTTTGCATATAACTACCTACAAATAAATAAACAAAGAATTGATTTGACTTTTCTACAAAAATAACGAAAATTTGTCTCTCTCTCTTTAATTAATTAGCCATGTCCGATTTAGCCCCATCAATTTTCAGATTTTCGTTTTTGAGGTAGTCACCTTCAAAGCAATATATCTCCAATGCTATTGTAGTTTTTAAAAAACGAACAAGTGCGATTTGTAGGTAAAGGAACAAGCTTCAAAACGGTATATTACTCTTTAGCAAAAAATATTTTTTTCTATAAGTTTTCTGGTCAAAGACCAAATCCGTCCGGTTTAGCCCTGGTCTCCTCTACAATGTATAACGTTGGTCAATTTTAAAAATCCAAGATGGCGTCTGAGATACAAAGCTTACAGTCGAGAAAATACAAGAATTCCTTACATTAAAAGCTAAATAATAGATACTGATTCTTCTGAACACTTCAAATTAAGCTTGCAAAGGTATTTTCGAGGTCGCAGAACAAGAATCAGAACTTACATTTCTAAAATTTAAAATGGAAAATCTAATATGGAGGCAGAATGTTACATTATCTCCGATTTGCTTAAAATTTGTTACTCAGGGGTTTTTAGGGTCGCTGATTATGAATTCAAGGCTGGATTTGAAAAATACTCAGTGGGGAGAGAGATGGGGTGGCTTAAATAATTTTGTTAGTTTCTGCTAAATGAAGTTTCTTTTTATTATTTTTGTTTTGCGGTGACCAAAATTGTAGTGAACTGGATCATGTGAAACAAAAAATGTCAATAGATTTAGTTAAATAACACTGTAAACTAGTCTTTAATCAAAGGATTTATTAAAGTATGCATTTTTGAGAAAATGACTGACAATCAAAATTCGTGTTTTGATTTTCACTAAAGAAACGGCCGTTGTTTTCGTCTATAAAACAACCATTTTCTATCGAAAAAAATCGAACGATTAAAGACTACATTTATATCTATTGAATAAGCCTGACAAATTTCAGAAAGATCGGTTCAGTAGATTTCAAGTTATTTTGGTCACCGAATTAAAAAATGCCATTTCGAGAAAAACGCATTTAATATTTTAACTTCAGTTTACAGTAGTAAGAAAATTTTTTTAAAAATCTATTTCGTGTCCAGATAGTACGTCTTCACATTGTTTAAGTAAAGTTTCTTTACTCAGATCAGTGTTTATAGGTATGGATAGAGTTCAAAACATTTGTTGGTAGTGGTTTATAATTATGCTAGGCAATCGTCAACGCAACGGATTTTGTTCTTTTAATAATGTTCATATCTTAGTCAATTTTTTTCGGATCGACTTGAAACTTGAAGGACGTATTATTAGATGGTTATGCTTCAAAAATAGGCAAAAAAAATTTGTAAAATTTAAAAGTTACAAGTGGGAGTAACCCCTTAAGAATAATTAAACTTATTATGAGAAACATAAATTTAACACTCCTCAGGTTAAGTTCTAAACAGAAGAATGTCAACTTTTCAAGTTTAAAACTCCTCAGGGTGAATTTGATTATTCTTTTTCATTTTTCTCCGTGTGGAATAAATATAAAGTAAATTCAATAAATCATCCATCATATGCATAACTGTTGAAGAAAGATTATTATTTGAATATATTTTATTATTTAAAACACCTTGACATTGCGTCAATTTTCAAGTTTTTTGAAAATTAAAATTTTTTAAATGCTGTAAAACATGCACATGATCTAATAAAGATGTGAATTAAAGTGGTTCTGATTTGTAGTTATGTATACAATAAATCTTTGTAAACAGATATTCTCTTCATTTTCACTTCATTTAAAATCTGTTCCTGACCACCGTGATGAATTTCAATACTAAAAAAAATATTTTTTTAATTTATTGTTTTGATATTATGAAAGTAGGAAATATTAGCTTCGAAATGAGACCTTAACCAACTTTCTACCTTTACTAGAAATTAATATAAAAATCTTTTTGTATATGTCTTTATTTGCCGCGGGCAAATTCTACTGGGCGGCACTGTATAACTTTTTTAATTTTCCTGACTTGTGGAAGCTTTGTTAGTGTCAAAATTCTTAAAAATATAAAAACAAATCTAACTTGAAAATAAAATTTTTAAAATATTTAAGCAAAATTTTTTAAAATATGATTTAATGAGTAATGGTTTAACTTTTTAGTACTGTAAAAAAATTATCAAATTATTACAAAAGGATTTCGAATCAAAGCTGTTTTTTGGAATTAAAATAAAATAGATAAAGTTTTAGTATTCATAATTATTATGGTTCTTAATTAATATCTAAGAAGATGTAAATTGGTGTTGACCAGAATAAAATAAGTTAGTTTTTTGGTGTAATAAATGTGTTTTTTCTCTTGCTGGTCTAAAATTATATATTTGTTTTTTTAAAAAATGACATGAGAACAACGTCTATGTCAATAACAAAGCTTTCGTCCTTCAAAGAAAGACCTCCTCAGTATGAATTTTTTACAATCAATAAAATCTAAAAAATAATAAATAATAAATTATAAATGCTATTAAAAAATAATATTCGGAAAATTAAATAATGACAAAAATACAGATCCTTTCTTTTCTTTTCTTCTAAATATCATTTATTTTAATTTGCAAATTTTTTACACTAAGGACAAAAGTATGTTTTATGCACTGAAAGACTTGCAAAAAATAGGCCTTCTATTATAAAGACATTTTTAAATAATCATTAAATTTGATGTATTATTTTAAAAGATTAAATTAGATTTGATAAAAAAAATAAAAAAATTTAAAACTTTTTAGCAGTTTATATTTATAAAGGATTTCCCAGGGGAGTCTTGAAAATTCTAGAGGCTTATAGTTATATTTAAACTATCTAAAGTTGTATATTCTTTGGTCTATTAAATCTAAGAAGGGAAGTAGAGTTTTGTTGCCAAAATAGTAAAAAGATCATTTGAATATACCACTAAGTCATAAAATTCTATTCATTTTGGAATCAAAACCCACAACGAGTCGCCTTTTCCTACCACGCAAATAGTTACTATCAGCTGTTTATTAAGAGCGCATGCTCACTTTTTACGATTGATCTCTCGAACTTGATTCTTTATACACTCCAACTCCACTGAAAAAATTATTTTTCGGATTGTAAATTATTTGAAACAACTTTGTCATAAATCTTTGTTTCTTTATAGTATAAAATGTACTTATTAACAGTGTAGAGGTACTGTGTAAAGTTCTATGAAATCGATATTTCTTTAATAAGAAAAAATTCAGACATAGTATCAATAAAATTAATTTAAGTTAAGAGAAAAGTTATAGAAAAGGGAGAAGAAAGATGAGAAAATAGTTTTCTTAATTCTTACTCGACACCCTGATTATGATTTTTGCTTACTAAGATTATTTAGCTATTTATTTTGATAAATTATGCAACTGAATGTTTTTTATATTTGCATGTATCACACCTTACATATCAATCTGTATCTGTTTTTTAAGATTACTTATGATAAGATTAATCCACTTATTTATATCATTTGTTTTTTAATTAAGTTTGTTTACATTTCATATATTTTTTAATTATATGTTTAATTAACTATTATTTACAAACCTGCTACATATGTAAGTGCTGCTGTCAGGCAAAGTGAAACCATTATAACAACTATTGCAATTAGCTTCCAACTGCACCATTTTATCCCTTTTCGAAACTGACAGCGTAGACTTTGTCTCCGTTGCATAGGTATCATGGATGGAGCATGAACGTAACCTGGTAAAGATACCCTAAAAACATGTATTGATTTTTATTTCTTTGCATAATTGAGGGGCTGGATCTTAAAACAACACATAAAATTTCTACAGCGGTATTCGCTTGGCTTTTTTCTAAAAAACTGTTATAAATATAAAAAAAATCATGAGAAGAAAAAAGATGCGCAAGGAAATTTCCTATAAGATAGTGAAAAACTTTATTTAAAAAAATTATTTTTGGGGTGTCAGGAGCCAACAAAAACCACTGTATAAATTTTATGTGTTGTTTTAAGATCCAGCCCCTCAATTACACAAGCCTGCAAAATTTCATTTTTTTCAGTTTCAAGAAGGGCCTAAAGTGATTCTTTTAGTTTTCTTGTTTCTAAAAAGGAATTTTTCCTTTAAAATGCTTCATAACATAGGATTTTTAATAATTTCAATGAAAATGTTATACTTCATTTTATAGTGAATTATAATTTTCCTGAATTTCGGTACTAGAATTCTATCTGATACTAATTCTTGCAAATGAAAAATCGGACGAAAGTATAGGTAGTTGTTATATATACACTGAATATTCTGTTAAATATAAATTTAATTCTATAAAAATGTTGTCAATTTCAAATTATTTTGATAATAGTGCTGTTATTATTAAATTATGTTACCTAAAAATTCTTATAAACATAATTTATGAGCAATTAAAATTTCTACAAATTAATTTTCTTTTCCGATAGATTTATATTTAATAGAAATTAATACTAATTCAAATTCAGTTTTTTTAATTTCTTAGGTTTTTATAGCTTATCTTAAATTATATGGAATTCTTCTATATATAAAAAACATTCATTCAAATATTATCTGGAAGTAAATTATAATTAGAAATGCATTTTTTCTGTTAAATGCTCCCTCACAACGAAAGGATATCCTAGGGATGTGTTTATGATATATTTTGGATGTTCATAGAGCCGGAACAACCATGAAGCTCATGAAGCGCGTGCTTCAGGGCCCGTTCCCTCCAAGGGCCCGCTACCGAAGACAACATAAAAAAAATTTGTTAATGATTTTTAAGAAAAATTAGTCATAAGGTGTATTAGAAATGAAGTTAAATGTATTTCAATAAATTTCGTATCGGTTCATTTAAATTTTTTACAAATTAACATTATATTGTATGTTACATATTATGTAATACATGGGTGATTAAATTTAAAATGTCATTTTCAACCACTACAAATGTTGACTTGGCAATGTTGAAATTTCTGGTTAAATTATTTTTTTTTGGTTGACTAGCATGTATAATGAAATTAATAGTGGTCAAGCACATAATAACAAATATTTTCATTAACAGACAGATTTTTGGAGAAAAAACATATATTTTCACGAGGCACTTTTTCAGTATGTTTTCAGTAGGATAAACTGAAAATACAATAAGATTTTCTAATAAATCATTGCCTTTCAATACCTAAAGTAAAATCAAATTTAAAATTTATCAGTAAAGTTTTTATTAAACAAAGTATTTTTATTAACATGGCTTAGACGCCAAAGAAAAATTCAAAAAATTGTTTTGATTTCTTTCACTTTTGCCTCAAATAAATTTATTTTAGTTTAAATTGTGAAAACATTTGAATATTAAAAGCTAATGGTCAAATACGAATTATAAAATAATATATATTAATTTTCACCGTAAATTATATAAAGCTGTAAATCATAAGAAGACGTAAGCAAATTAGTAGGGGACACCAGTGACACGCTGAAAGATGTCATTGAAAATTATTTTTAAATAATAAAAAAGACATGAACATAATATGAGTAAAAATATAGTTTTAAATCTGGAATAATTGAACGTAATATATAGAAAATATAGGTTGATTTATAATTTATAGAAAAAATGTAGAAAACTTAAAAATTGTCAGAAAAAATAAAAATATGTTGTTAAATTTTATAATCTCAAAAAACGACTCTAAAATTATTTATTATTATTTCAAAATTTTGAGCAAATTTGTTAATTCTGCCTTCGGATTCGGATTCAGCGGCGAAAAATACATAGAAATGTAATGTTTAGATCAAAAAACTTTTTTTTGTGTGCCTGTGTATTTTAGGGGACACTATAGTGACAGGGGACACCAGTGACATTCTGCCTTAATTCTCATTTTAAAAAAGAATGATTATATTTCTAACTTCGGATGTGTGCGATTTCGAAAGTTTCAGTAATAAGTGAGACTATAATGAGGTATTTGAAAAAAATAGTAATATTAAGTACCATTTTGTCTTTTGTCGCAGGGACACCAGTGACATTTGTGCTCGGTAAATTCAGTCTGCCAATCTGCCATGCATCGTGCATTTTATAGATAGGTTAGAACGTTGTAGCAGTTTCCTACTCTTGTACAATTAAATATTAAGCGCGAGATTAAGATTTTTGTCATTTTATATTAAATTTTAAATTATAATATCAACCCCTCATTTCAAAGTATTACGTTTATGCCCTCACGCGTGCTACAAAATTAGCACGAGCGACAGCAAAATGTGTCTCATTGAGCAAGCACGGTGTGACTCGCACGTCATGTACCTAAACTACAACAAAATCAGAACGAGTGACAGCTAAATGCGTCTCATTATGCACGCACCGCCTGACTCGCATGTCCTGTGCCCGAAGTGCGACGCATGATTGTTAGGGTAAGTGCGTCAATTGCTGCGGGTGCTTCAGTTTCTGCGGCATTTTAATAATTTAAGTGGATACATTTGTTCAGGGCACAAATACTTTTGAATTTTTTTTTTAAATTACTTAACGATGTAAGTTTTAAAATAGATATAGGAAGTATATACCGAAACTTAATATTTATGTATTTTATTTTAATTAAAAGTTGACGTGTGCAAGGTTTTATTTATTTTCATTGCTAAATTTGCTGGCAGTGCAAAAATACCTACATAAAAAAGGCTTTATTATTGTTTTTAGACTTAAAGTGGTTATTATTATGATGATTTTAGATAAAGAAAACCTTGTTTTAAAAGAAAAATTAAACTTTACTTTATTTTTATCTGTTATTATATTTTATTTTTAAAAGTAGTAATTAACACAGAATTTGGGCTTGATTTAATTTCTGCGCCCTCAGAAAATCAACTAAGACTGGTTACAATAGACTATCTATTTTTTGTTAAATGTAATTTATCGTTTCGTCGTGACATCGTATTGTGGAGATCAATGCATGGTAATACAGTTTACTGCAGAGTTTCTGTAAAAGTGCCCTCTGTGGGCTAGAATTACAACTATTCTCAATTCCCGCTCAATTCGTTAATATGGCGGTGCTACAATGTCCAGTGTTATTGTTGATTGTTATTGTCATGTGTATTATTACAAAAGCTTTTAAAAGTTATTTAAATTAGTGCTATTCATTTTAGTATTTTTATTATTAAAAAATGCCAAAAGTGACAAAGACTGTGAAAAGCAAAAATTATGGAAACAGAATTAAAAAAGAAATTGAAACAAGAAAATCAGGGAAAAAAGAAAATTGAAAAGGAAGATCGAGAAAAAAGGAGAAAGGAAACAAAACAAAAACAAAAAAGTTTTTTTAAAAATTTTTTTGTAAAATTTTTAGAAAGTACATGAAAAATGCCTTAAATGCATTAGGGGAGGGTAGGCTACATTGAACCGGGTATTTTATAAAGTCCAAGAACTAATAAAATTTTACTAATTTCGATCAGGTTTTTGTATCAAAATTAAGCTGAAGTACTCCTTTAGTTAATACACACGTTACAAACACAAATTATTATGATTAAATAATTAAATTTAATTTTTTTCTAACAAGTCACACTTTTCTTATTTTGAAGGATGTGTGTCTACATTGAACCACCTCTAATAAAACACTACAATTTACTTCAAAAATAATATTTCCACTTACACATTGTAAAAAATCTTATTTTCCACTCAAAAAAATAGAAAATTGTTATTTAATTGTTATTACTTGTTAATATAGGAGATTAATGTATTTTAATGTCAGGTTAGGTAGGTAAAGTGACAGTTTGAGTTTATCTCGTTCACAATTGTGATGAAAGCATGTCTTCCAGTATTTTTCTTACTAATTAGTAGAGCAGACAATTTTACAACTCTTAAAATTGAAAATTCTTTGCTTTTTCGGGTGGTTCAATGATGCCGCACTCACTGTATTCACATGACATTCACAACAAAAATTGTTTATAATAAATTTGTGTAAGATTTAAAGTTCTTTATCACATCGGAATATTGAAGTTGACACCCTAAGCGAAATAAATCGCAAGTTTACTAATTTTTAAAACTTCCTATTTCAATAAAAAAACGTCATTATAATTCCACCAAATTTTTTGTTTTGTACGTGAAAAACAGTTTTTTTAGTTTTTCTTTGTAAATAATAAACCTACGTGCCCGAAATTTTTGGACATAGTTTGTTTCAGTAAAACTAACTTATATATTAAATATGAAAAAATTTCACTCAGTCATTTCTCAGAAAATTGAAGTGGTTCACTGTTGACGCTGGTTCAATGTAGCCTACTCTCCCCTATAGAAACATTAAAATCGGTAAAGTATTATAAAAGTTATATGGTTTTAAAAATCACAGTGTTACTGAAAATGTCAAAACTTCAACCCCCACTACTTTCTAGAATTTTTTTTTTAAAAACTAATATTTTGCAAATTTATTACTTTCATATAGGATAACAATTTCCCAAAATATGAAGCCAATCCCAAGACTTTTTTTTGGGCTGGGACGTTTGAGAAATAATGCCTTATATACTCATTGTACATACATATACGCATGCGCAGTAGTTTTCTATGAATATCAGGCAAGCGCAGTAGTGTTCTGTCAATGTCAGGCATGTGCAGTAGTGTTCTACCAATGTCAGGCATGTGCAGTAGTGTTCTATAACGCATACGCAGTAGTGTTCTATCACTACATATAACGCATGCGCAGTAGTGGTCTATCACTATAACGCATGCGCAGTAGTGGTCTATCACTATAACGCATGCGCAGTAGTGTTTTGGAATAAATTTAAACTTGTCTTTCAAAATAAAA